AAAACAAAACAAAAAAAAAACAGAAAACAGAATTGTCAGGTAAAGGTTACATTATAGCCTATGTACTCCAAATAAAACAAAAGAATATAATACATTTTAGAAGGATTAATACCAAATGCAGCTAAGGCTTTTTGTTTTATTTTATATATATACATATATATATGACTTGTTTTTATTTTATATGTATGAATGTCTTGCCTACATGTACACATATGTACCACATGTATGCCTGGTGCCCTAGGAGGCCAAAAGAAGGCATGGGAGACACCTGGAACTGTCGTTACAGTTATAAATTGCCATGTTGGCTGGAACCAAGCCCCAGTCTTCAGCAAGTGCTCTTAACCAATGAGCCATCTCCTCGACAACCCCTGCTGGGTTTTTTTTTTCTCTCTCTCTAAGTAATTCGATCCTTAAAAAAGAAAATCTCTGTTGCTTGGAATTCTTCGTTTAATAAAAAGTCTCTTATCTTCTCCAAAAACATAACACAGTAAGCCTGTGTGTTTCAGCTTTGTCTGTAAGGTCTTATAGACACGAACCACGGGTTGATAACGGGTCTTCAGCTGAGTGTCTGACTCCCTCGGACGGCTCCAAACTCATGGCCACAGAGATGGCCCTGGTTAGACTCTGTGGGTCTTAAAACAAAACAGATTGACAGGAATGGGAGAAAGATCTGTGGGGAAGCCAGGGTGGGGGCTGCAGACAGGGAGATGAGAGGGGGCAGTGGTGAGAACCATCAGTATGCATTGCCTAAATGCGGGGTCAGTGAAATGATTAAAATGAGTAAGAATCATCTAACTTCTTGCTATAATATAGGCTCCAAAGGCTAAGCTTATTTGCTGGATAACTAAACCAAAAATCTGCCTTTGATTTCTTTATGTTTTTATACTCTGGTGCTTCTTTTCATTTCCTGTTCAGTTCTTTTTAAAAAGAAAATTCAGCTTCCCAGTTCGTGTCCTTAAGCAAAACTGGAAAGTTGTTTTTATCCATGCACTGGTAAAGAAAAGAGAGTTCTCAAGGAGACCCAGCTCGGATCCAGATGAACCTGGGGGAAAGGGGGACCCTGGAGAGGACTGAAGACTTTCTGCGGGCCCTGCTCACCCTGGGGTTATTTCTCTTCCAAAGTTTTCTTTGAATATTAACCCAGTCTGTTGACCTAAGATAACAGCCAGATTTTGTTATACAGAAAAACAATTTTCTGATGGTTCTGAATAGCTGGACATTTTTCTGTAAGATGCTAATGTTAATGGTTTCCTTTCTGGTGTCTTCCCAAAGGGGTTACTGTCTCATTTCTCTATCACTAAGTAACGGATCATCCCAGAGCAACCACTGAGAACAGAGTGTGGCACTGGGAGACTGAGGCAGGTTCATGAGTTCAAAACCTGCCTGGGCTGCATCGGGAGCCCATCTCAAACAGCTGCAGCTGAGGTTTTGGGAGTGAGCTGGCTGGGGATGTCCCAAGGGTCCTAGGACGTTTGTTGTCATTAGCTTTGAGACACGGCCTCAAACTCGGGGTTCTCTCCTCAGCCTCCCAGACTGCTGGGTTTGCAGCACATGCAGGCTCTGGGAAGCTCGGTTTCTCCCTCTGAGTCCTGATTCCCGCTGGAGACATGGTTGGGTTGGGAGCCTCTAACCTGTCAATGAGCAGCTCAGCTGTCACTCGGCGGTGGTGGTGATTTGAGAGAGACGTTACCCAAATCCTTCTGCATACATACAGTCCCCAGACCCTGTGAAACTCTTGGCTCAAGTCAGTGAGCTGCACAGAGCCAGATGAACTGCAGGCCTTTCTTCCTTTGAGTTTGAGGCCTGTACTCGTTTGCCAGCTTTCCTAGTCATACTTTCTTGTTTACAATGTGACAACGTTGGGGTTGGGAATATATACATATACAGTTGAGACATATATGTGCATGTACATACTGAACGCTAGAGGGGTCTACACCTCCTCTTTGAGTACTGTGGTCTTCTTCCTCTAATCTCCTCTAGACATATGCTTTCAAATTTAAGATTAAAAAAAAAAAAAGTCTACCTGCGTTGCCCCTGAAATTCTTGTTGGGAAGCCTAGCATGAGGCCCAGGTGATTAACTACCCAAAAACATCCCTAGGGAAGGGGCTGGAGAGATGGCTCAGTGGTAAGAGCACTGGCTGCTCTTCCAGAGGACCTGGGTTTAGTTCCCAACACCTCTGTTGTGGTTAACAACCCTTTGTAATTCCAGTTCCAAGGGATCGGACGCTCTCTGCTAGCCTCTGCTGGTGTTGCATGCACATGGTGCATGAACATACAAAACACTCATACAAATAAAAATTAATCTTGTTTTTAAAAAGGCCCTAGGTAGGGCAGATTCTGTGGGTTCGTGGACCACACTTTGAGGAGCTCTGCTCTTCCGGCTTCAATCTCAGCTTCTTACTCTGCACATCTCGACTCTGACCAATGGAACGGCTTTTCTTCTGGGTTGTCTGGGTTGTTGTGGTTTGGTTTTGACACAGGGTCTCGCTGTGTAGCCCTGGCTGACCTGGAACTCACCATGTAGACCAGGCTGACCTGGAACTCACCATGTAGACCAGGCTGACCTGGAACTCACCATGTAGACCAGGCTGACC